AATCTTAAATGTCAAAGTAGAGAGGAGCCTAGTAGGCCTATTTATTTTCATTCATTACACAATACGAATAAGCTATGCAGACAGTTGTAAAGAAACAACATCTTTTTCTTCTGTTCTCTACTTGTTATAGTTACACAGTATTAGGGGTGTGGGCTGTATTAAAAGTATCCACTGTTCTCCCATGCTCTAACACACAGTAACGATGAAATGTGTGCTGTTCTCACATTCTTCCTCTGTATGTACACATAAGCAACAAGGCAGGGAAATATAAAAGGAATTTATTTTATTGTTTGGGTACATTATTGTTCAGTGTACATGCTCACATCTGAAACAAACTTTACGTGCTTGATAACTCTCCCACCCCGCAGACATCTACACACCACTACCGATTTATATTCATAGCGGCAAGTGCTATGTAGCTCCACATAGGGGACACAGGAAGTGACATATAACACCTTCATGCGGCGTCATAACCGCGTAACAAGTTCACAGCCGCATCGGCAGAGCTCCAGAATATGCAACTCGGCCGGCTCACACGCGGACGCGCTTACAAGTGCAAGGGCCCGCCCAACGCTGCTTGCAGCTTTAATTACAATATTGTTTTCGCGTCAAAAGCATCTAACTTACCCACCGTTTTACTACTTCTTTGTTTTAGGCTTGTGGGAAATGCACACCATTCCTGTGTGAAGCATGCCAAGTGCCCCTCTGCGTTATTCTGGACAGAGACTGTCACAAGTATTTACACAGCTAGGGTGGCCTGTGTATATGTAGGGGTGCCTTTCTGTATGTTTTGCTCTGATGATGTACATTTTTTTTATTTACACAAGACATGGTCTTTGTTTTTTTTCACCATTTAATTGTTCAATCAACATTGCTCTCAAAAGCAAAATGTTATCTTTTTGATTATACAAATTTGAAGGCACTCTATTCATGTGTAAGGCACCCTCACCTGTCAAGTGTTATCACAGTCTTTTTGCATGTTCAGTTCCTATAATGTACAGTTTAACTTAATTGTTGTGTATAGTGTATTATTGAAATATAGAGTAGTGTAATTGAATATTTGATAAGGTCTTCCGTTTTTTACCACTTAATTGTGTAATCAACTATGCTCTCAAAAGAAATGTATTATCTGTTTCACTACACAGCTAAAAAAATTTATAAAAATGAATGTATCTTACAAACTAGTTTATGTACATAGTTCAAATCAATTGTGTGTTTTTCTAAAGTGTTTTATGGAAGTTTTTTACACTGACAAGTTTGAGGTTGGCATTTGTTATATTTATGTATTTGAAAAATACATATTGGAAATAAATGGGTGTTTATTGCAATTTTCAGCTATTTATTGATTTATTAGTAATTTATTACATACATAGCATTCAAATTGGGGTTGTAAGGATTGTATTGATGTATGGCATATGAAAATGCTCCAAAGATTGACAGTACAGCATGAAAAAATACTTAGATATGCTCTGGCGGAATAGTTCTATGGCAGGTCATAAAGGGTTATCAGCTTTTTTGGCAGATCTCATGTCATAGTTGGAATGGGTCTAAGGTATTCTTGTCTATGTATGAAATGAAGGTGAGATTATATTAAAGAGGTGTTATTATGCTCATTTTCATGTTCAAAATCTTAATTAGGGGTTGTACCAGAACAGGTTTACATGGTTTAATTTTCAAAAAATACCATATTTTTCTCATACTGTGTTATACCCAGCGGTTCCCCTCCTCTGTTTACCTTGTGTTCTCCGTTGTTTCCCCATCCTATTGTATCTGTTTGTCTGTTTTCCCTGTGAGTCTGTCTGACTGTCTGCAGGTGGGAGTGGTCTTCCTGGCTCTGGCTCTCCGCTATCACACACCTGCACCTCGTTCGCAATCAGATACCCGTTATCTACCCCGGTCCAGCACGCCAGTATTCGCCAGATCGTCTGCGTATCTCCCGTGGTACACACCCTGGCCTTCTCTAGTAGTGAGTTAGTTGTTTCCTCGTGAATTTTCCCTCGCTATTCCTGACACTTTGTTTGTTCTCCTCCACTTTCCAGAATCCGCCTGCCAGTCATCTGCCTGCCCACCTGCCTCACCTCAACCGCGTCTATTCACCGTCTCGCCCGGACTCCCCGCTCTGGACTCGGATCACTCTCCACTTCCACGTTCTCCTGACTATTTCAATAAACTCCCCTTTATAGCATCGCTTCTTGGTTCTGTCGGGCTTTTGGGTTCAGACTTCTACTACACACACCCATAACATACTGCACATTGCTGCAGCTCCTCTTTTCACCCTATGTGTTGTACGCTCCGTTCTTGAGCTACAGAGTGATGCATCTTACTTGTACAAACTTTGTTGGGAGTTGCACATGCGCAGTTCCCAGGTAAGGACTACAAGCCAATCAGAAGCAGAGAAGGGCGGGTCGTAGGAAACTAGATTGTGTGATCCAAATCAAAGCCGCTTCAGACTGCGACCGTAACCTAGCAGATGGTATAAGTTACTCTCAAGTCCACAACCACGCAACATCATTGTTCCACATCGTAGCATCAGAACTAAACGTTGAACTGTTGCCGGTGTTCTGACGATCTATGCTGCCTTGCCAAAAAATGCTACCATAGTGCAAATCGATAGACTCGACTCTACTCGGCCCTGCTCCGTTTTGCATTGCAGATAGTACCCAGAGATAGTATGTAGCTTGTGGTCATAGCGACGCCACACAACTGCCGCGACATAATGATTAATGCGACACACACACCAGCGACCCACACAGCTTTCTCTTTTTTTTAAGTTAAAACGTTTCACCATTACTCAGAATGTAAAGACAGATAAGTGGTATGAAAACCTCCTAGCTTTGTTTTCCTCTGCCGTTGTTGCTGCAGCGCTCTGTGTGACGGCGGGAGCAGAGGGCTTTGTGAGCGGGCGGCTGGCCAGTCTCACGTGCTCCACCTGCGAGTTGGCACCATTGACTGTATATAAAAAGGTTGGCACAGGCATCCCCCGCAGCCACTTGCGGAGCTCCTCAACTCCGAAAATATTCAAGCACATTTTTGTTCCGCCATCACTTCTCGTAAAACTGTCAATATTCGAAATCTACACAGCTGATTTCACCTCAACTTCTCAGAAGTGGATTTAGTGATGAAATTCCATACGAAAACTGTAAAACTTTCTGTTGCTGGCCTCTGTCTGACACACACAATGATGATGCAGTGAATAGTGAATATTCTCTCTGACCAATCAGCAGTCTGTTGTGTTTTCACATTACATTTTATTATCCCTCAGCTCACTTGGAACCTAGACGGAGGCATTTCTACAATAGAAAACCAAACAAAGGCGAGTCGAGCCAAAGGGTTTCCGCTCAGACTAGCTTTGTTTGAGGGTGTGCCTGACCCCCGCCAGCCGCTTGGCAAGCTTTATGACGCGTTTTCATTGTGACGTCACAAGTAAAGGAAGTGAAGGGCTGGACTACAAACGAGCTGTTTTAAAGCGGTTCAGAGCAGTGCTTTCTGTGGGAGATGGGAACTCCCTTTTGGCTGGACTTTGGGCTTTTTCACTTTGCAAACTTGTTACATGCACAGAACAGATATATAACTATAAGAAGGAAAAAGCCAAAAAGCATAATACCACCTCTTTAAAACTCTGTTTAGACTAATCTTAATAATGTTTTCATCATGCACCTATTGCTTAAGGAAAACAGCAAAATACAACAGTTTTAAGCAGGTCAAGTCATGTTTGCCATTTCTGGCAAAAAAATGAAAACAACCTTGTTCAGTTTACTCTTGATATACAGGTGCTGGTCATATAATTAGAATATCATCAAAAAGTTGATTTATTTCAGTAATTCCATTCAAAAAGTGAAACTTGTATAATGTATACATTCATTCCACACAGACTGATATATTTTAAGTGTTCATTCCTTTTAATTTTGATGATTATAACTGACAACTACTGAAAACCCCCAAATCAGTATCTCAGAAAATTAGAATATTGTGAAAAGGTTCAATATTGAAGACACCTGGTGCCACACTCTAATCAGCTAATTAACTCAAAATACCTGCAAAGGCCTTGCAATGGTCTCTCAGTCTAGTTCTGTAGGCTACACAATCAAGGGGTGACTTGACAGCTGTCCAAAAGACGACCACTGACACCTTGCACAAGGAGGGCAAGACACAAAAGGTCATTGCTAAAAGTGGCTGGCTGTTCAAAGAGCTCTGTGTCCAAGCACATTAATAGAGAGGCGAAGGGAAGGAAAAGATGTGGTAGAAAAAAGTGTATAAGCAATAGGGATAACTGCACCCTGGAGAGGATTGTGAAACAAAACCCATTCAAAAATGTGGGGGAGATTCACACAGAGTGGACTGCAGCTGGAGTAAGTGCTTCAAGAACCACCATGCACAGATGCTTCCTGCTGCTGACCAACTTTATGGAGATGCAGATTTCGTTTTCCAACAGGACTTGGCACCTGCACACAGTGCCAAAGCTACCAGTACCTGGTTTAAGGACCATGGTGTCCCTGTTCTTAATTGGCCAGCAAACTCGCCTGACCTTAACCCTTTAGAAAATCTATGGGGTATTGTGAAAAGGAAGATGCTATACGCCAGACCCAACAATGCAGAACAGCTGAAGGCCACTATCAGAGCAACCTGGGCTCTCATAACACCTGAGCAGTGCCACAGACTGATCGACTCCATGCCACGCCGCATTGCTGCAGTAATTCAGGCAAAAGGAGCCCCAACTAAGTACTGAGTACTGTACATGCTCATACTTTTCATGTTCATACTTTTCAGTTGGCCAACATTTCTAAACATCCTTTTTTTGTATTGGTCTTAAGTAATATTCTAATTTTCGGAGATACTGAATTTGGGATTTTCATTACTTGTCAGTTTTAATCATCACAATTAAATGAAATTAACATTTGAAATATATCAGTCTGTGTGTAATGAATGAATATAATATACAAGTTTCACTTTTTGAATGGAATTACTGAAATAAATCAACTTTTTGATGATATTCTAATTATATGACCAGCACCTGTACTATAATGGTCTCTAGCCGCCCTAAATTTTCAGTCAGTAGACAGTGCAGTTAGCAGAAGAGTGTTGGGTACACAGGAAGTCGCTGGTGACCTCTTTATAACCTCTGGCTTCAGTTAGACCACTTCCTGTTGAACAAATGACAGGAGAAACAGGTATGAGGAGCATCTGTCCAGATAAACCGTACAACAATGAGCATCACACTGCAAGTAGCATTGTAAATATTCTGTAAAGCTCTTTTCACACATGGAATATGTAATACTGCTGGTGTTGTCAAGCTGTCATTCAGACATTTACTCAGACATGACAGCACATTTACAGAAAGAGCTGCAGGATGTATGGCACCTGGTGTGCCAGAAGAAGAGGCATCACTGCAGGAAAACAAAGGGCGATTAGTGTTTTCTGTTCCCTCAAAGCTGCAGTTGTGATGGATGGAACTGGCCATTGTGAGTGGAGGGACTTTTCTCTGTTGAAAATAAATGTTCTCATCAGTCTCATGAATAATTATATTTTCTCTGCTTGGGAAGTACAGGTTTAAAAACAATGGACTCTGCATTAGTTAAAAACTGAAAAAACACTAACTGAAAGCAACAGATAATGCCAACTTCCTTTTCATCTGTGGTTGTGAGACCAGAAAACAAGTTCAACCAGGTTTTGACGTCATCTGCTTTGGCATCATACATCTTAAAACTCATGGGTTATCAATTAAATCTGCCTCAGCACCGGTGCCTCTCGTCTGTCTCTGTCCATTCCATAACTGATCAGTGGAAACTGAATGGTTTCATTACCACACTTTCATCACGTTATCTTACCTTCCATCAGGTTGTACAGGTTGCAGTAGTTGGTGCCATGGTCTTTAATGGCATACCAGGTCTCAGAGATGGACATGGCCTACATACGGAGATACAAGTCTGTGTTAAATAAAAGACAATGCTGAGCAACAGTAAAAAGAATAAGGACAGATACCATGAAAGGAATAACAAGAGTTTGAGACAGAGGAAACAGCTGGTGACTGAAATAGCGAGAGGAAGGAGGTATGTGAGGAGAGAAAGTGGTACAGCGAGGACGGAGCTCAGACTGAGAAAAAACGCTGCCTTCATTTGAGGTCAGGCGTCAGATGACAATGGACATTTAGTTTGGTTTTCCAGAAACTGTGAGATAATGACTCAGGAGAGTGAAAACCTACCGAAACGTGACAGCAAGCGAAGAAGTGATAGGAGACCAGCCGGAAGTTGATGTCTTCCACATAGCTCTTAAAGGGAGTGGTGTGTTTGGCTGCTATAAAGTGGACAGAGGCAGACTGCAGCTGCAGAGAGATCGAACCATGTTTGGTTAAAAACCAGTGACATAAATATGCCTATATATTTCCTTTGTTGTTTTTAATGATCAAACTCAAAGTGACATGGAATTATATGAACTTAGTTTCGGTAAAACTCCTCAGCTAGGCAGGCCTCTTTATCCATTCCATCTCAGCCTCCTTTCTGCCATCACAAATTATAATTTAACAATAATACATCATATAAATGCTTGCCAAAGTAAAATAACAGAAAAGAAAAAAAAATAAATAAATAAATAACCAAATAAATAAATATAAATAATAAAATAAATGTGATCCTAAAATAAAACAATTAAAGCTGCAAGCAGCGTTGAGCGGGCCCTCACCCCCATGAGTGCCTCGGGTTCAGCGAGAGCTGTATCGCACTCCAGCTGACACGACTCTGGAGTTATCAATGCAAACATCAAAAAGGTGACGCGTCGAAAATATCTCACAAAGTTTGGTTCAGGTGTCAGTTACTTAATTCAAAGTGTCTGACTTCCAGTTGGGTTTAGGGTATAATATATAATATACTGTATATACTTGTGAATTTTGGGACAGACCTGACCATGTCTTGTCCGTTTACATGGACTTCCTTTTTCATGGCGAGACATCAATTCAGTGCCATGCCATGGACACACTGTTTGATCAATCAAAAAAAGCTTCACAATTTAACATCGCAAGGCTCTTAAGATTGCGCTGCCCACATTTGAAGTCAATCAAGTTAAAGATCTAGGAGGAGTTTGTTAAAGTATGGAGCCTGTAATCGGGGAAACGCTTGTAAATAATTCAAAATGTCCAACTTCCTGTTGGGTTTAGGGCATGGCTCCAAGAGCGTTATTTTTAAGTCTAGAGATGATACATCAGCCCCCCAAATTTCGTACAGCTACAGGGGTGCTATTGAGCTATTTTACCACAACCACACTGCGCAGCCATATTAGATAACAGAGAATACCCCTTCTGACATGCGTGGCAAGTTTTCTGAGGTTTTAAGCATCCCTAGCCATGTGAAAGCAAAAAAATCTCACTAAGACCATTTTTCCATTCCCTAAGGTGCTCTGTGTTATAAACCTAAAATTGAGGCATTGGGGGTAAAGTTTGAAACATGTCCTTTCCTGATGCCAGTAGGTGGTACTATCACTATGACTAAATATTGACATGTAAGACTCTAAGGGGTTGACATGTGAAATTTGGAACAGATCTGACCATGCTTAGCCAATTTTTCATGGCGAAACATCAAAATTCAACGCCATGGACATGCTGTTTGAGCAATCAAAAAAAGCTTCACAATTTAACATTGCAAGGTTCTTAAGATGTTGTTACCCACATTTGAAGTCGATCGGGTTAAAGCTCTAGAAGGAGTTTGTTAAAGTATGGAGCCTGTAATCGGGGAAAACGCTTGCTGTTGGGTTTAGGGCATGGCTCCAAGAGGCTTATTTTTAAGTCTGGAGAAAATACATCGGTTACTCAAGTTTGGTTCGGCTAGGTGCAACGTACGGCAGGGGCTGCTTTTTTAAAATTTTGCAAGGAGCGCTAAGCCAATTTTCCACAACCATGCCCCCAAACCATATTAGACAATAAAAAACAATACTTTTGATGTGCATGCCAAGTCTGGTGAAGTTTCGAGCATTCCTAGCCATGTGAAGGCTAAAAAGCCTTTAGGGGACGCTATAGAGACAACGTGCAATCCAAAGTCCCAAAAATGACATCAAATACAAATATTACCAATTTGATTGTGGCTGCAAAGTTTTGCGGCTCTTTGAGCATCCTAAAGGCCTCAAACACCTGTTTAAAATATTGACGCAGCCAATGACGCAGGAAGTGCAAAAAGGCTGACTTCCTGTTGAGCAAAATCTCATTACAAAGATCACATTTCTGCTTTTTTTAATAAGAGCAATAATCCCACCAAATATCATGAAGATCAAAGAAACTTTTTCCGAAACACATTGTTTGTTTAGGGGCGCTATTGAGTGCACTGGCCTCGCCCCAACCCAGTCACTGCAGAACATTGGCTCTCCCACCAGTCCTGAGGTGTGTGCAAATTTTCGTGTGGATTCGAGTATGCTAAAACAATGAAAAATTTGTTTTTTTATTAATGGTGAAACACTAAAATTCAACGTCACGCCGTGCCCATGCCGTTTGAGTAATCAAAAAAAGCTTCGCAATTTAACATCACAAGGTTCTTAAGATGGCGCTACCCACATTTGAAGTTGATCGTGTTAAAGTTCTAGGAGGAGTTTGTTAAAGTATGGAGAATATAAACGGGGTATAATTTCGTAAATAATTCAAAATGGCCAACTTCTTGTTGGGTTTAGCGTATGGCTCCAAGAGACTTATTTTTAAGTCTAGAGATGATACATCGGTCTCTCACATTTCATACAGCTAGGCACACTGTAGGGGCTGCTTTGTTGAAATTTTGCGCTATTGAGCCAATTTTCCACAACCACGCCCCCGAACCATATCAGCCATTACAAAACAACCCCTGAGGAGCGTGCCAAGTTTCATGAGGCTTTGGTTATCCCTTGCCATGTGACAGCTTAAAAGGCTTTAGGGGGCGCTATAGAGCCAATGTGCAACCCTCAATCTTAAAAATGACATCAGATTGAAACATTACCAGTTCGAGTCTGGCTGCAATGTTTTGTGGCTCTCTGAGCATCCTAAAGGCCTCAAAAATGACTTAATCTGGGAGGAAAAAAAACAATAATCTGAGCAAAAACAATAGGTTCCTTGCACTTTGTGCTAGGACACCGTTGGTGCCCTTGCACTTTCGTGCTTGGGCCCTAATAAAATAACACTTCCAGTGCTGTCAGTAATCACAATACCAAGTGATTCCAAACTTTTTAACAATGTGGACTGCTGCCGGCCATGGTGGAGTAGGAGGTGGGGTGCAGTTGGTTGAGCATTGGGACCAGCGCACACGTAGAAACTATCATTTGGGTTGTGTTGTTACTGTAGTTGAACCAATATCAGACCATGTCATAGTCAACTGAGTCACTCTCAGTACATTTCAATGGTAGGTAGCTGGTAGAATTAGTGAACTAAAATACAACTAGATTTTAAATAAATTTATTTAGTATAAATTTGCGATTTATCATTAAATGGACCATCTTCATTGGTGCACAATACCAAAAAAATGTGCCATTAATCATGACCATAAAGTCATTGCTACACAGACAAGCTGTGGGCCCTGAAGCTGGTTCATCACACGGGCTATCTTTGCCTGTTTGGTAAACCCGCTTTGAATAAGCCAGCAAGACTAAGGGCTCTGTCTCCCTGCCTGCTCAAATCCAGCACTAGAACAAACGTATTCTTTAAGCAATCTTCCTCATGTGCAAGTCTATTTATGAGTATGAGTACTGAGCACTTGCACTGAGCTGGGAGGAGAGGTGCAGTGCAATTCTGCTTTTGGCATGAAATTGAATTTGCGCAGAAATCTGCTCAGTCCCGGCTTTATTGCAGACGTTGGGCCACCTTCGTGTCTTTATGGTGCATTCCAGACAACTCAGAACTCGAAAATGTCTTAAGCGCATTCTGATTCATCAGAATCAGAATGCGCTTTATTGTCAAGTAGTTATGAGGAATTTGCTTTGGAGATAATGTGCTACATATAGACAAACATACAGATCATAAATAAATAAATGTAGAAATATATAAATATGGAATAGTGTAGTGGGACAACAGTGTGGATTTTGCATTTTATGGTAAATCAATTTGGAGCTACTCCAAATTCGTCTTTTCCTCTCCCAGAGAGGAGCAGGGGGGTTAAAGATCAACTTTCAACAGACTGCTGAAGAGACCTCAACGTAAGGGGGGTGGAAAAGTTGCTTTCTCTAAGTGCTATTCAAGAGCGGTTGATCGTAAAACTGGTGATTCCGAAGCTGATAACGCGGTGCCGGACTGTTAAACTGACAAAAGGGAAATTAACCAGAGATTACAAACAGCCTATCAGAACTCTCCTTGGAGGGGGGCACGAAATCCTATACTGCCCCCCCCCCCACACACACACACACACACGTAACCATGCCAACTGACCTTGCTCTGTGTTCCATTACCCCATCAAAGAGATCTCCTTGTCACACCCACTTGTGACATAATCCAGGACAGCCGAACTTTAAATAAACAACGACTGCAGTCTCCAAAGACCCCAAAGCATTAACTGTTTAATTAAATCTTTTAGTTCTTGATTACGTTTGCCTCTATTTGAGTAGTTATGTTACCATGTTGTTGCTATCTGTTGTTGATATTAGTGCTGAAAAGAATCTAAATAAGTTACTTTTGCAGTGTTTTTATTTTCAGCAAGATTAAGGACAACCCTTCATTTTATGTGTAACCAATGCTTGTTCACAATACTTTCTCACACAATTCCTTTAGAAATGATGATAAAGAAATGTCATACTATACTCTATTAATTATTCAGCTTGAATTTAAGGCTGAATAACTAAATTCCCCAGTTCCTAAGGAAAGGTTGTTTTGGATTAATCTAAGCTTTCCTCATGTAACCTGAGCTCCCCCAAGTTCTCTGCTCTTCTCTTCTCCTCGTGCTCTGGTCTTCCGCTCTGCTCTCTGGACGCTTCGGCACGCGTCCGGCGTGCCTCTCCCGGCAACACCCTAAGAGTTCGACCAGCGCAACGAGGCCTTTGTTCACTTGAAACTGCACACGCGAAGTGCCACGACATCGATTTGCCCCTCAGTACCAGCAACTGTACTTGTTTATTTATTTATTTTTATTATTTATTTTTTTCCTTTCTTTTGTTTTGTTAAAGTTATCAGTCCGTTAAGTTACACTGGTCTAATTCAGGAACGACCAAGTTCCCTTTTTAATCTTTTTCGTCGAGCCAACTTCACCGAGGTCAGACCAATCCACGTGGTCTCGCCAGCGGCAACGAAGGAAACCTGAAAACAGCCGAATTTCCAGACCGAGGACGGCCAACCCTTGAGGTTTTTCTTCAGACACGGAGAACTCCGGAGAATCCCTAGCAAAAAGCCAGGATCGGGCAGCTAGTGTGGGACCCGTGCAACAGGCCAAAGCAGGCCGTCAACAAGCAGTAAGACCAAAACCCTACATTCTGTGGTCAGTGACGTCCAATAGTTGCTAATCCATTTTTCTTTAGTCCAGCATATGGAATCTTTATACCCCTAGACAGATTTAACCGAGTTATCATCTAATTGCACTCGTTAGTTGCCGTATGAGTCAAATGCTTCCCACAATCG